TCATTTTTAAACTATTGTATTTAATATATCCACTATAACAAGGTGGGATGTGTTGCTTAGGCTTTCAATTTAAGCTTTCAGCTGTTTCTGTGGTCATTACTAGTAGCCCATGAGATGCATGCACTGTGACCAGAATTCTCAAAGACTAACACCAGGTTAACTGTAACAACCAGGAATGACCCATCTCTATTTTCCTGTCTCTCTTCAGGGGCTGAGTGACTAACATCCAGCTTTAAAGGAAAGCTTTTGCATGGTCCATAATAAAACAAAGTGCTCTCACATGAGCTAATCCCTTCTTGCTTCTGGCAGTGGTAGAAAGCATGTGATGTCTACTGACCCATTAAGCTGTGGCCACTGCCACAGAGCCTGTAAGATTCAGGAAGCTTTCAAATTGCCTATTCAGAATGGTTAGTAAGGGAGATAAGAAATAGGGTAGGTGTATGTTAAATATTTGCATAATTTAAGCCTTCCTACCAAGAGAATAAAAAGTAGGCTGAACACTCTTATACTATTTTACTCACTGTAGTGAGTAAATGTGCACTTTTTAACTTTTTCAATATGTAAATAAAAACACAGATTACATATTTAATGAATAATCATGTAGAGATAGTACATTTCTCAAACAGTTGTAGATAAATGTTTACATTTCTTCTCTACCCTGGGGCCTTGACTTGATCATGTCACTGACATGTATAAACCTAAGTCACAAACCTGCCGAAGAAGCCTCAACAGCTACTTCAGGAGGAAGTATCTAAGAAAATCGTTTCTGAAAACATTATTTTAATGCATACAGCTAAAAATGTGTGTTGGTATCTCTGTCTGTGGAGCATGACTTTTCATTTAGATCAAATGACTATTTCTTCTGCATTAATTTATATCATTTTCCATTTCAAGATTTCATTGTACATATATGAAAAATGACCAGGTAGCTGTTAATCTTCCTGCTAAAGGATGCAAGCACAGTTTCAGAGAACTTTGTGAAATTATTTTCATTGTTTTACCTAATATATGAAAACAAAATAAACCTTTGCAAGTTAACTCTACAAATACTGTAATTTCTAATATCAGAAATGCCACTATAAATTTAAACATTTATTATCGAGAATTATTTAACTTTACCATGATAATATGAATGCAAATTTTGATGGAGCAAATATTGCAACTAATAAGATATTCCTCCAAAATGAAGAAATATGAGGCAGAAATGTACTTGGTGTTGGCTGTGATGCACTAATTATTCATTAATTGCATCAAGACAAGTGATAATTTTCCGCCACTTGCAAAGTTCTAGTGTCCATACTTATAATTTTTTTTATACACACAGTTGGGATATCAACAAGGTTGTGTGATAAAGATACAGCACATATAAAAATAAACATCAGCATGGCAGTATGTACTTTCTCTTTACCCATTATCATTTTAGGAAGGTTTGAACCTTTGAAGATACCTCAGTTAACTTAAATATTCTCCAAAATTGGACTCTTTTGTGGAAAAAAAAAAATCTCCTCTAAATTATGGTCATAATCAGTTGGAAAGTTTTATTCAAAATTTTTTATGACTGAAGTACTAACTTCTGTTTTTGGAAGCTTTTTCTGAATGGAAGTGAATTTTTTTTTTAAGTGGCCAAAAATCACTTCATTTTTCTATGAAAGCAACATATAAAAGGTCAAATACTATGCATGATTCAGTTTTTAAATTCTGAAGTTATACTTTACGTTATTTTTATTATTATTTTATTAGGCGGAGTCTCACTCTGTGGCCCAGGCTGGAGTACAGTGCCACAATCTTGCCTCACCGCAACCTCTGCCTCCCAGGTTCAAGCGATTCTCCTGCCTCAGCCTCCCTAGTAACTGGGATTACAGGCATGTGCCACCACAACAGGCTAATGTTTTATATTTTTAGTAAAGATGGAGTTTTACCATGTTGGCCAGGCTGGTCTCGAACTCCCAACCTCAAGTGATCTGCCTGCCACGGCCTCCCATTGGAGTGCTGGGATTGCAGCTCCTGGCCTAGATTGTTTTATGGGAAGAATTCTTGTGATTTTTAATACAATAAATATACATTCTGACCATTAATGGAAAGAAATTTAGAAGGCATTTATTTTTCAGCATACATTTTGTTAAATGTTCTAACATATTGTCTTGAAAAAATGTTTGACAGGAAAAGTTCCTGTGAATGAATACAAAAATACAGTGCCTTTGAAAATATTTGGGATGAAGTATATACAGATTTCAATATTTTAAAAATAGATCGAGAATATTGTCCATGTACCACATTTTTGTTGTGAGTTTTCAAGGTACTTAAGTGCTCGTAGAAAGTGTTATTTTTTTTTAGACAGAGTCTTGCTCTGTCGCCAGACTGGAGTGCAGTGGTGCCATCTCGGCTCACTGCAACCTCTGACTCCCTGGTTTAAGCAATAATCCTGCCTCAGCTTTAACTGCAAGCATGCGCCACCACACCCAGCTAATTTTTGTATTTTTAGTAGAGACGGGGCTTTAGTAGAGAATGGTCTCCATCTCCTGACCTCATCATCTGCCCGCCTTGGCCTCCCAAAGTGCTGGGATTACAGGCGTGAGCCACTGTGGCCAGCCTCAGAAAGTATTATTCATTAAAATTATGGTCTACAGTGGAGTCAATTAAGGTGTCAATTTAATGACACCTCTGAAGGTGATTGATAACAATTTCATGAAATATTAGAAATAAAAAGATGCCACTAAAAAGTACGTTCTTTTGAAAAGTAATCCTGACGTGGGTAGACAGTTGTAGCTAGTAACTGACTAAAATATATGAATGTATATCACAAATAATCCTCCTTCTTGTGTCATTTTAAAATATCCAGATGATCAACAAATTTAATGCACAAAAGTCTATTTATTTGAAAATAATGTATTTATGAAATAAAAATGGAATAGTTTTGTAGGTCCACCAATATAATAAAACCAAGTTATCAGTTCATCCATATTTCAAAAATTAATTCTGTTTACTTCTACTCTTAAAAAACACGTCCAGATGATAAGTTATTCTGGTACTCAAGATATAGTAAGACTCTTTAGCCTAGTCTTTGGATATTTAATACTCCAAACATCAAATTCATTATAAAGTAACAGGACTCGTGAGCATCGTTATTTTGGCATACTAACTCATGCTTTCTTCACAACCAGAACCTCACTATTTGGGTGTTTCATAGGGGGAAAAAAAATTGAAATAGGAAGTTTTTATTAAATTGAGTGACGTGGAAACTTGAGTCATTTTCCAAGAAATTGTTTTGACCTAAACTGGATGCTGCCAAAAAGAGGAAGCCACTTTTGGCCTTTGGGTCAAACTCCCTCGTTCTTTCAAATGTTCCTTTATAAACATGAATACTTATGTGGCAGACAGAGCTGGGTTTTCACCATTGTGCCCATTAATAGATGTCAGTGGACTCATGAATTAGTACGCTCTGGCAGCATATCTAATTTTTGACACAAACTGCTTGAGGAATTAGAGTAAGGGAAAAAAATTCAAATTAGGATAAAAAAGTAAAAGTATCTTGAAAGTTTGATGTTGCAAAAGGAAGCAATGAACCTGGTTTTCCTTCTGCACAGAATGAATGGATAAAGGAGTAGTCTTGTTGGTAAGAATTTACTCAAACCATTGCAGTACCCTTTACTGGAGAGGGGGCGGCAGTGAGGCATTCTAGCCTGTGTTCTTCCTTTGACTGTTTCAGCCAAATAGTTTCATAAAGGCAGATGCAAGAAGGGAGATTTGTGCTTTTGAAGATTTGTGCCATATTAGTGCTTTTACCTGCAATCCCTATTGGCAGTGGGTTATCTTTCACTCCATCCATGGCTCCAATTTGATGGAACAAAGGATACAAGATGAAAATGATTTTATTTTTTCCTTTTGCAGCACAGATGGTATTATAAGGAATGTCCTCTTAAATTTAGAAGTGTTTGCTTCATAGTTTAGTGCAATTTTCACCCAACTAAAATTCTATGTGGGAAAAAAGTTTTGTAAGAGCTGTTTGAGGTTTTAGGTTTCATACAATAGGTGTAGTGGCTACAATGACCCAGAGAGACAGGAGTTGAGAGCTCGTTGACTACATCCGAATTACAGCAAAGTCCATAGGGGAGCTAGAACATAGCACCAGAATATTAAAAATAGTGTAAAAATACTACTCTTTAGGGAATCTTCTGACATTTGAGTGATTTCTAAGTAACCTGCATAACTGTTAGTTACCTGGCATGGTAAAACACATGTAAGGTTTTCTATAAACAAAGTAAGGATAATATTGTTAGAAAGCTGAATTCCATTTCACATGAAGCATTGGAGATTAAGGAAGATGAATGTATATGTGCTTCCGATGTCATGAGGAGATCACAATTGCTGATCATCCCAGAAGGGAATAATCTGGGTAGGCTGCCACCCCAGCAGTACACTGTAGGGTTACTTTGTAGCATGTCCATAGCGGCTTGCTTTGTTTCTGAAGTGGTTGTGAAAGGATGGATGAAATGTTATCAGGCTGGCAATATATTTAAAAAATGCTTAAAAATGCAGCAGAGTTTGACTAAGATGTTCCAGTACTAGGAATCATACGACCTCTGTCTCCAACATGCCAGGAACATCTCTGATAGGAGAGGAATATAGGGTGATCTTGCAGAAAACCTGTGGAGACAGAGAGGACGTCAGAGTTAGCCAGACTGATGGGATTGCAGAGTTCTGTGAGGGATGCAGCAGCCTCCACAGGGAAGTGAAGTGCTTGGTTCTGTGAGGCTTTTCTTCATCACCTCATGACAATGAGGTAGCAACTGAGGCTTGCACGTTAGGAGTGGTAGCATCTGAGTGAGTGAACAGATTTTTCTGGGGGTGGGAGAGTCCATATTTAAGTTGTAAGACAATGATTTATCTCTTGTAGTCACTCTATTGGTAAAAAGCTTGTTATTATAACATGGTATAATACTTTCTGTATCGGCATGTTAAAAAATGAAGTCACAGTTAAGTCTTGCTTTTATGTTTTCCAGGAATCGGAGAAAAAGGGGTTGATCGAAAGAATCTATATGGTACAGGATATTGTTTCAACTGTTCAAAACATCTTGGAGGAAATAGCTTCTTTTGGAGAAAGGATTAAAAAGTAAGTTCTAAATTTGTGTTGTGATGTTTGAAGTAGACCTGCTATCCACAGTGACAGTGGGGTTATGGCAGTGGGGTAGGAGAAAGGGAGGAGGGAAAATACAAACACGAACTAAAGCAACGCTCTTGGGTTAGCCTGTCTGACTTCGGTTGACTTCTTAACTTCACAGTTGGGTGGTACCTCACAACTGGGGTGACCATAAGGCCTAGTTTATTCCAGTCACCCCAGCATAAATATTGACAGGGTCCCTTTTCACTCAAAAATATATCAGTTTGGGTGATAACTTATAGATATTTAAAATGTTACCCTATTGAGAAATAAAAAGAGAAGCAAAGGTGCTAAAAAGGAGCCTTTTCTATCTGAACCATGGAACTTAGTAAATGCCTTGACTAACTTTCCTCTCAAATTCTCCAAAGAAAGATACATATCTAGTACCATCATAGATGGATAAATGTGAAGTTAGTTTACCACATATATGGATGTCTTAGGACAGGATACTACTCTCTGGCCTTTTTTAGAGAAAGTTGGCAATATTTTCAGCTTTGTGGGACATATGGTCTCTGTCCTGACTACTCAACTCTGTTGTTAAAGTGTAAAAGGAGTAACAGTTAATATGTACATGAATGGGTATGATACACATTCCAATACAACTTTATTTATAAAAACAGGTAACATGCTGGATTTGATTCACAGTCTACCCACAGCTTGCCACCCCCATCTTAGGATGTGATAGCTAAACTGTCTAATGGAACTCCAGTTAAGAAAGACTGTAGATTCATATGTTTTGTTTTGTTTTATACATTATCAACTCTGCATTACTTAGTTTTCATTTGGCACCAATAAATGGAAGGTTTTTAATTTTTTTCCTTTGAATTATTAACTTACTTCCCCCTTTAATCTAGAATGGTGTCAACCATGTTCTTTCTAAGGATTAATTCTTACTTTGTTGGTCGTGTCTACTTGGATCATTCTAGTTTCTTTGAGTAAAGAATGTATTGTTTTGGGATTGCATGGGTAAACAGATTAAGAGTGGTGCTAAAAAACAAGTGAAAGTCTTATGCATTAAAATGCAAGGAATCCATAAATGATATTAACATCAGGAAATATAAGTAGTTAATATGCAACTTTATGTAAATACTAATGTTCTTAGTTGCATAGTCAATGAAATTGCCCTTGAATGCCCATTTATTATAAGCATAGTTAACATGTATGTTTAAAAAATAAGGTATAAACTACTTTTAAACGAAGTTGATGAATTTTTATTGAATTTACACAGTTATACCCATTATTAATATCTTAAGAAAAAACAACAGAAGTTTTGCTCACAGATATGATGCCTATATGCTTTATTCTTGTAGGTTTCATATCAATTGGCAAAAGATTCTTGCATTTACCCTCAAAATGTTTACTATAAACATATTTGGAAGTAAACATGAATAGTAAAATGAGGAGGGTATCATAATTCTTTATTCATTTCCTCACTCAACTATCAGTTTTTGAGTTTCAGACACTGACATGGTCTAAGAATGAGAAATACATCCATAATTACAATAGTGATAGCAACACCAACTGTTATCGCATGCCTGCCAGGCACTCTTCTAAGCCCTTTAAACAGACTAGCTCCTTTGAGGAGCTACTTAAAGGAGTAGGATTACATCATTCAAACAACTCTATAAAGTAAGGATTGTTAATATCCTCATTTTACAGATGAGGAAACTGAATCACAGAGCGATTAAATTTGTAGTCCAAGATCACACAACTAGTAGCTATGTAGCTTGGATTGGAACCTGTCCTCCTCATTACTACACTATAATGTCATTATCCTCAAGGAATCTCTATTTCAATGAGGGAGAAACAGAGTAATAGCCAATTAGAATTCAGTAGCATTAGTGGTAGAGAGCGGTAAGAGAGAATTCTGGGAGAGATCTGATCAGCCCAGGAAGAGATGTAGGAGAAAGACCACGGGCAATTCTGAAGCAGAAGAAACTTATCAGCATCTCTGAGAATAGGAAGAGATAGCTGGGCAAAGAATTGATGAATGAGGGATTCAGGAGTGGACAGCCCTTGTGCAAACGCTCAAAGCTCAAGACTGTGTGGGAGATACAGGGAGATGTAAGGGATTTAGTGTGTCCATGCCATGGAGGTGTGGTTGGCAGTGCCTAGAGATGAGGCATGTCATGCAGGCCTTGAGGAGATGGAAAAAGTCAATGGAAGAAAGCTCAGTGAGGGACGTATTGGCAGCAAGGAGGATAAAAGGACACAGAGTGGGGTCAAGACCCGGGAAGGAAGATCATGTTGTTTGGTAAAACTGTCTCCATTCTCGAACATCTCTAAAAGACAAATGTGGCTGTTGTGCAGTTGATAATGTAAAAGGAAATGTGTCTGAGGAGAGAAGAGGGCAGAGTGATTTAAACAGGCTCCCAAGCCTCCAGTGCTTTGAGGAGCAGCTGTGCCCAGCACAGCTGTGGTGGCCATGTCTGAGATGTGTCTTCAGCCCATGAACAGAGTACTGTTCTGCCCAGCTGCAACACAGGAAGGCTTCTAAGGCTCAAATCCTATTAATTCTTGGCCATTCATTATTACAGTGACCTTAAAGTCCCTGCTGGGCATTCAAGTGGGATGTCATGTGTAACCCTGTTGGAATTCCATTGTAACTCAGTGCTTAAGAACCAGGAAAACTTTTATTCAACTCTTGGCAACTGGCAAAAATATAGAAATACATAAAACTCTCAAAGCAAGACTTCCCTGATACTGATGAGGGGGGACCCCAATGGTGTTGCATTTATGTGGAATGAACTGTATTCCTTTTTTCCTGCTCTTCTCTAGTCACCTTCCCTAATATTACACAAATTTTAAATGAATATATGTATGAAGCCAAAATATTTTACTCAACATGTAGCATTTGGCTGGGCACGGTGGCTCACATCTGTAATTCCAGCACTTTGGAAGGCTGAAGTGGGCAGATCACCTGAGGTCAGGAGTTCGAGACCAGCCTGGTCAACATGGTGAAACCGCATCTCTACTAAAAATACAAAAATTAGATGGGCATGGTGGCACATGCCTATAATCTCAGCAACTTGGGAGGCTGAGGCAGGAGAATCACTTGAACCTGGGAGGCGGAGGTTGCAGTGAGCCGAGATGGCACCACCACACTACAGCCTGGGCAACAGAGTGGGACTCTGTCTCAAAAAACAAATAAAAAAAACAAAAACCATGCAACATTTATGCTAGACAGTAGGCAGAGCAGTGCAGGAGAGTGAAGCGTATCATATGTTCTATCATTATGGAGTGAGGGCTCTAACCCTTGCGTCCTTGAGTGGCTAGGGAAATCTCCACAGAGGAGATACTGAGATTAAGGTAGACCTAAAATAGGCAAGTTATTCCTACAAATGTTCCAGGGTAAAACTTACAAGCCACCTTCGTAAGAAGTACAACTGCCCTGGGTAGGAATGATGTGAAAAATACTAAGCAGAAGATGGGCAAGCAGGTTAAGTGGTTGCAATCCTGAGGTTAAGTGGGGTTGGAATCCAGATTTGATTCCAGTTAAGTAGTTGGAATCCAGGTTAAACAGGGCTGGAATCCTGATGGGGCCATGGGGAATGAGAGACGGATGCGTTTTGTGTTTAATTCAAGAGTGACATATCAAAAGGGACAAAGAGTGAAGACAAAGATCAAGGAGGGGGCCAGGTGTGAGGAAAGCAATCACAGGCTAGTGTAGAACCATGCATATGCAAAGGAAAGCCTTTAGTAGAAGACAGGACAAAATAAGAACCTACAGCAGAATATGACCAGTAGTTTTCATTTCCGTGGGAAGAAGAGTCAGAGGACCTCATTTGTCTAAGCCCTGGAAACAAGGAAATAATCTCACTGACACAAGGTCAGTGCAGTGGGGCAGCCAGTTGGGGGACGACCCAGAGAATATACCTGCACCCACATTCTGGGATGTGGTCACAATCACAATAAGACACTTTGTAAAACAACATTTTCAACAAAATCAACATGCCTGTAATCCCAGCAACTTGGGAGGCTGAGGATTTAGAAAACGTAGAAAACGATGTTCTTCCATATTAGTGAGCCCATGTGTGAATGAATGAAGAGGATTCCTTGAGTTTTTTCATTAATTGAGAAGTTAAAGTCATTTGTTTCATAAGGGCCCAAGTCAGGGATTACCTCTGAGGATTTGGGGAGCTCTCAAGTCAGGAAAACTGGAGAAATCTATGAAAATGTTGTTTTACAAAGTGTCTTATCTTGAGATGGGAAAACTTTGATTTACCAAGCTTCTTCAACTTCGGATTTTCTATGGAAGATGTTCTATGATACATGGGGAAAGAGTCTAGTAAGGTTTTACGTGTTAGGGGTATTGCTACTGAGTGTCTTAGAATTAAATCCTCAACATTATAAACAGGAATATTCAGCTAGATTACATGAGTAACATGGGCTTATTTACATTTTTTTGTAAGTGCCTACTACAGAAGCAGTGAAGACGGGATCGTAAGCCACTTTTCTGAGTTCAAATTCCAGTTTTGTCACTGGAAGTGAATGATCTTAGGCAACTTATTTAACTTTTAGGACTCAGGGTCCTCATCTGTAGGATGGGAATAACAATAATGAGTTTTGCTTCATAAAGTTTAAATGAATTAGTACATATAAAGAGTTTAGACCAGTGGATGACAGGTAGTAATCACATAAAAATATTAACTATTGTATTATTTTTTGACCACTGTCTTGACTTTCTTCCTCTGTGTCTTAAATAAACCCAGTGAATGTCCCCTGCCCTCCTTCTAAACCATTTTAATACAGAAGTTGTACTTCCGAGGTGCCAAATTTTTGAGAAATCTAAACTTGTGGGTTGCTGAGGGGAAAATGCATTAGTCAACTGACCTGACTCTTAGAAGGCAAATCTGACAGGCTATGTGGGAGAGTGTGTGTGTCTCCCAACCCCATTTCTAGAAAGCACGTGACACACTATACACTTGTACACACACAACTGTTGGGATCTT